ATATATATCTTTTTAAAGAGGAGCGAAATTTGGGGCGTCACACCTTTAATACCCTTAACTTTGTAGTAAGGATCTTTGCAGCAACCATTGATCTACATTTTAATTTTCCAATTGATAAAAGAAAACGCATGCAAAATAACATTAAGAGCAAAAAGTTCAAGCCATTCTGATAATGTGAAGGTCAATAGAGGATGTTTCACCGCATTCAGTGCTGACTTTGTAACTTAAAATTGGAACTTTGAAGTTCAACAATGCTCACATGCTTATAAACACAAATTAAACTACCCCAAAAATAAGAACGAAAGGAGATGCAGGGGATTGGATCATGTACCACTTAATTCAAAGTTGATGGTGTTATTTTTCTAAACAATTGTATTATACCTCGAATACAGCATCCTTTAAATCATTTGCCAATTTTCCAATAATCTTAGCTGCATCCTTATCCCACAACAGCAAAGAAATAGTACCGGTGCAATCCATCACCTTAACTTGTAGCCTGTACCTGGAAAGAGTTTGTGCTTTTAACTTTTAATATTTAATAATAGTAAAATAAAACTAAAAATTATGGTCATACCTATGAGTGGGAGATTGAATCTGCTCGCATTTTTTACAATAGAATTTTTTTCCCTCTTTGTCTAGTTTCTTTGTGCAATTTTTGCATGCTAAATAACACCATCCATGGTCTAATTCTACGTGTACAATAGTTGCTACAACCCAAAAATCTCCTGGTTGCGCATAAAATTTGTATATACAAATGTTATGGAGAGAAAAGAAGGATAAAAAGTTTTGATAATTAAAAATTAACAAAATTAAAAAGTAGGTACTCACATGCTTACAGTCACTCAGATCCTCAATAGTTTTAACTTCAATGCTTCCAGATGCTAGCTCATCAGCAATAGAATGAGTTTGTGAGATGAAATTTGAGTAATTCTTTGTGAGCTTTCTCCACGCACAGAAACCATTCTATTTCATTTTTAAGTTGAGATATATTAAGAAATATTAACACTAAAAATTGATTTGAAATATCCTTTAATTAAGTATAACTTATAGACCTGGAGCAAAAGTCAACAACTTGAGGAAGATTTGAATTGATCCAAAGCTTCGACGCGTGCCAAGTGTTCCTCACCGAATATTGTTCTATACACATAAAAGTAATTTTTAAGATTTTACTAATTGTATAAAGACATTATATTGTAAAGTAAGTAGACAATTTAATAACCTCGGTATCGATGTGCTCTAATCAATTGCATGACGATGACAACAGGCTTATCATTGGATCCATTCAAATACAGCTTGATCTGTTCGACAAAGTCTCCCCAAAGAGTTGCAGCAACAGTATTGCTCCTACAATTATTATAAGGTTAAGCATAGGAATCAAATTAAAGAATTATTGAAATATTTAGTTAGTTTAATAAATTGTGGCGAGCTTACTCATAATCTTGTATCTCAATGTTCATGAACATACGGATGCTATCATCTTGTTTGATAGATTGTACGTCTTCATAGCTCACAATTTCGCCAATAACATTGAAATGTGTTCAAAATTAGTAATCATTATGGACAATATAAATGAAGATCGTTAAAGAATTATTTAATTTCATGATCTACTTAAGATATAGCAATGGGTAAACCAAACATATAAGACAGAAAAGAGATAAAAGAATATTAACTGAAACCGAAAAATTGTATCACGATTGACAAAAATCAGATGGTCATTTTCGAAGGAGGACACCTCAATTTTACAATTACTTTTATTAGTTACACAAAAGTAAGTAGTTACCTTTTAGCTATACACAACAACTTAAGTGAAAGTTAGGTTTACCTTTCTATTTAATGTGTTTATTAATTAATATTTTCTCTTACTAATTATAGTTGTTGTTCATTTACGACTGAGTCTGTTTGAAAGGCAATAGGACAGCCATTTTATTTCTACTAAGTCTATACAAAATAGAACGATTAACTCATGCACATGTGAGAGTAAGACATAGTTGGCAAACTTCTCTCTGCGAACTCTCTCCGGTATCAACAACATCAACCTACTTTGAAAACTTGAAATTTCACTGATTTATCAAGTAGTCCTATTTATAGACTGTAGCAATAGGGATATTATTATTTAGCTACTACTTACTGCCATGTTTAGTTATATTGAATTATTTCTCACTTAGTTCATATAACAAATAACTAAAAGTAAAATGAAACTGGAAAAAATGAGAGTAATTTAATTACCGAATAGCTCCGTATTGTCAAATTCCTGAGGATTTGATAGCTGGTCATAGGTTTTAAATTTGGAGATGCACATGTTGAAATGCGGATCATGTATTTCCTCAACAGTGGTCTTATGCGCGAACATCAACTTAAACTTGTGGTCTTTGGTCTTCAGTTTCATATTATTTGGACAAACCACGAAATTCTTCATGATGTACAAACCCATTTCCTTAATTTGTTGATTGAACCTTTGGATAAAAGACCTGCCAATACTTGCCTGAATGCGGTCGCCCTAAAAAAATAGTCAATTAGTTAAAATGACTAAATTATTTTGTATATGACTGTAATATATTTATTCATATGTAAAGAATGCAAATAGAAAGTAATCGTTCAGTTTAAATCAATACCTTTTCATCCATCACAATAATCTCAATAGAAAAAGGCGTATCAGGTCTGTCGCGATCTGGATTTTCCCAAAGCCTGATAACACGAACCTTTAATTTCCAATTCATTGACTTGCTGTTAATTTCCCTAACGAAATTTACTTGAGCCGCCATTAAGTTCTGAATATAGACAAAGGTATTCATAAATATTAGTACAAACTACAACAAAATACTTATAGAAACACATATGAAGCTACTTATAGAAACACATATGAAGTAACATAACATGTGAAATAATTGACTTTTTGCTGACGATTCTCCAAAAAATCTTCAGCAAGAATCTGTGGTATAATCCTAAGATTGGTAAAAAACAGTTGCCATAGGAGTTATGTCGTCAACAAATTTCACAGAAAAATCTATCAAGAAATCTGTATACAATCTCAATTGTAATAAAGATTGTTTATGAAATACAAATCATACATCACCTCTTGTAGTCGACAATTGCTATTTGATATGCAGAGGAGGGAGAAAGAATAGAAGTATATATTGTAAAAGTAGAAAACTGAATTGAGAAATTTGTGAAATCATGTTACTGAAAATGTCGGAAAGAGGAATGCGTGGGCGAGTAGTTGAAATCGTGGTGAGAGATCGTGGGATAGAAGCCGAATTTGTAGGATTGCTATTTCTAGGGCATATAGGCGAAGGAAGGGCGTGGGTCTGAAGAGCTGAATTCCCAATTCCTCTTTCTAGGGAAAATAGGCGTAGAAACTACTGGTAAGTTAATGTAATAATTGAATAATTTAATGATATACCTATGAATTGTTTTTAAATTCAAATAAAATAACACATGGCGTGGGATTCAGTTTAGTAATTTAAACTAAACTAACAAATGGCGTGGATTCACTTTTCCAATAAAACAGTAGAAACTACTTATTCATTAAAATATAAAATAGCTAATTAAGTATTTTCAACTTAAGTATTTTAATGATATACCTATGAATTGTTTTTAAATTCAAATAAAATAACACATGGCGTGGGATTCAGTTTAGTAATTTAACCTAAACTAACAAATGACGTGGGATTCACTTTTCCAATAAAATAGTAGAAACTACTTATTCTCTAAAATATAAAATAGCTAATTAAGTATTTTCAACTTAAAAATTTAAAAAGAGAAACTACTTTAACCTAAATTAACTAATTTGTCCTAAAAAATGCCACATGACATTCTATGCACCTGACAAATGGCAAAATCCCATGACTGACTCTCTTCCTTTTAAGTATATATATATATATATATATTGGAACTATTGATCAACTTTTCATGAACTTTACAGCAACAAATAGTGACAAAACAACTTCTTTGCTCATCAACTCAACCCACTGCCAGTATTAAGAATCCAAAGGCAATCACACATGAGAATAAGTGAAGAAGTAAAGCATTAATAACATGGATATTGACATTAATCATGGAAGCAACAAATAACCAGATCTTAAAATTAATAACTTAACGGTAACATACTAAGTTATAGTTACATACCTATCAATCCGAAATAAACAAGAAATCCAAAGACCAAATAAAGGTTAAGGAAAATCAAGTGTGAAAATCAGTTATTAATCAGTGAATGTTTAACAGCAGCAGTAGTAGAACCAACTCCAATTAGATCCAGAATAAAAAATAAACCCAGAAATCAGAGATCATTCAAAACAGCGAGCAATGTTTGAACCAATGATTGAAATCAAATCTCGAGCGTAAATTCGGAGTTCAAAATCACTCCATGCTTAGGAACAAAAATCAAAAATAGAAGATGATGATTCAAACGAATTTTTTTTTCTTAACTGGCGACTCAGAGACAGAAAAGGAAAATTAGACAAAAATTTAGAAAAAAACTTTAAACCCTAGAATTTTCAACCCAGAAAATCAGTCCCAAAAAAAAAAATCTCCTCCCTCAGATACGAAAATGAGTATTTATCTTCAAAAAATCCCAAGCTCCTTACCGTTGCTCCCAAGAAATAATATAAGCCCATAGATCTCTTTAGATGGGCGAACTTTTGACAAATGGAAGGCTAGGATCAACAACATTTAATCCTGAGGCTCCCATTAATCTTTAGTCCGTCCAAAAAGAGAGTGAAAGCGCAAAAAAACGGGTGAGAAATATTCTTTGTCATAGGTTTGTTAGGCTACATGGTAAGAGGAGAGAGCGGGAGCACGTGATTGGTTAGTGGGGTGATGTAACGACCCGACCGGTCGTTTTGGGTATCTGCACTTCGCTTGGCGTTTTGAGGGCTCAAGTAGCTCCGCATGATGTATTATGACTTGCATAAATCGTCAGTAATGATTTTCAAGTTATTCGGAGTCGATTTGGGGGAATGAACTTCAAGATTTACGTTCTAAGTTGGAAGAGTTGACCAAGTTTGACTTATTGGCAATTGACCTCGGATTGGAGTTTCGTCAGTAGTGTTAGCTTCGTTGGGTGATTTCAGACTTAGGAGCGCGTCCGCATTGTAGTTTGGAGGTCCGTAGTGGAATTAGTCTTGAATTGGCGAAAGTTGGGTTTTTGGGAAGTTTAACCGGGAGTGGACTTTTTGATATCGGGGTCGGATTCCGATTCTAGAAGTTGGAATAGGTTCGTAATGTCAAATGTGACTTGTGTGCAAATTTTGAGGTCAATCGGAGGTGATTTGATAGGTTCCGGCATCGGTTGTGGAAGTTGAAGTTTCAAAGTTCATTGATTTCGGCTTGAGGTGTGATTCATCGTTTCGAGGTTGTCATGTGTGATTTGAAGCTTCGAGTAGGTTTGTCTTGTCATATGGAACTTGTCTGCAAAGTTTGGCGCCATTCGGAGTTGATTTGATAGGGTTCGGATGCTCGGTTGTGATTCTAGAAGTTCTTGAAGTTTAATTTGATTTGCATGCATTTTGGCGTCCGATTCGTGGTTTTAGAGGTTATTTTGATGATTTGAGCGCGCGAGCGAGTTCGTATTATGTTTTTAGACTTGTGTGCATATTTGGCTTGGAGCCCCGAGGTCTCGAGTGAGTTTCAGATTGGTTTTGGAATGTTCTTGCGTAGTTTTTAATTGCTAGTTCTGGTATTTTCGCATTTGCGATGTTTCGATCGCAAATGCGGCCATCGCATTTGGTTTTGGAATGTTCTTGCATAGTTTTTAATTGCTAGTTCTGGTATTTTCGCATTTGTGATGTTTCGATCGCAAAGCTGAAGTTAAACCAAATTGAGAGCAAAAGAGCTAGGCGATTGTTGCAAGCAATTTGGGTGTGATACAAGTGTGCAAATCTGAAGCTACAAGAACTAAGTGTGAAGAACCAATTCCATTGTGTCTTTCTTTATTTCTAGTTCAATTGTAGTAGGTGTTTTAACATTGTACCTTTCCAGCTTTCTTAGAAGCAATTGTATTAGGTGCATTGAGTATTCAAGTTAGAGTTAACTTGAAAGTGTCGCAACAGTTGAGGCTGTGTGCTACACTGGGATTAGAGTTAATCCTTAGGTTTACAAAGAGTTTTGTAATTGCTGTTTTTGGCTCATTGAAGTTTAGTGGAAGTTTGGGAAAATCCTACTGAGTAGTAGGTCGTGGTTTTTTCACCTTTTGAGCCAGGTGTTTTCCACGTAAAAATCTCTGTGTTCTTTATTTCTGTATTTTAATTCCGCAAACAGTAGAAGTTAGAACACCTAGAAGAACCAGGTTCTTCTAGTGCGAAAATTAGGTACCACACAAATCACCCCCCTCTTGTGTGGTATTGACGTCTAAAACATCAATTGGTATCAGAGCGGGTTATCCTTGAAGAGGCTAACACCTTAGGAGAAGATCAAAAATGTGTGCACCACCTGGGAACTGGGAAGGGCAATTCACTGCCAGACCTCCACTTTTCAATGGTTTGTATTACTCTTGGTGGAAGAACAGAATGAGAGATCATATCATAGGGGAAGACTATGAACTTTGGGATATAATTACTGATGGTCCCCTAGCTACCACTAAGAAGAATGCAGAAGGAATTGATGTGCCAAAAATAAAGGCTGATTGTACTGCTGAGGATCTGAAGAAATGGGAGAAAATGCTAAAGCCAAGAAGTGTCTAGTGTGTGGTCTAGGACCAGATGAGTACAGCAGGATTCAAAGCTGTACAACTGCTAAGGAAATATGTGACACTCTACAAGTGTCTCATTAAGGAACACCTCAAGTGAAAAGGTCAAGAGGAACTCTTCTGTATTCTCAATATGAGAATTTCACTATGAAGGAAGGAGAAACTATCCAGGAGATGTATACTAGATTCACTACTCTGACTAATGAGCTTAAATCTCTTGGAAGGACCATCCTTGAAGAAGACAAGGTTGAAAACATTCTGACAAGAGTTTTTCCAGTCACTTGGGAAAGCAAGATCACTGCCATTCAGGAATCCAAGAATATTAGGCTGGATGAACTAATTGGGAACTTAACTGCCTATGTAATGAGGAGACAAACAATGAAGATGGATACCCCCAAAAAGGAGAGAAGTTTAGCTCTCAGAATCACTGAAGGTGCAGATTTGGAAGATGATGAAGTAGCCATGATCACTAGGGATTTCAAGAAGTATCTGATGAGAGG